GGTCCTGTTAGCAGTGCAGTTCTGTTAGCAGCATAGTCCTATTAGCATGACTGGTTCTGCTAACAGCATGGTACCATGAATATTGTTCTGCTAGTAATGTGATTCTGTTAGCAGCATAGTCCTATTAGCAGACTGGTTCTGTTAGCAGTGAGGTTCCCTTAGCAATGGTCCTGTTAGCAGTGCAGTTCTATTAGCAGCATAGTCCTATTAGCAGTGAGGTTCTCTTAGCAACATGGTCCCATTTAGCAGTGCGTTTCTGTTAGCAATGTGGTTCTGTTAGCGGCATAGTCCTATTAGCAACGTGGTACTGTTAGCAGCATGGTACTGTTAGCAGCATGGTACTGTTAGCAGCATGGTACTGTTAGCAGCATGGTACTGTTAGCAGCATGGTATTTTTAGCAGCATGGTATTTTTAGCAGCATGGTACGGTTAGCAGTGTGGTCTTATTAGCAGCGTGGTCCCGTTAGCAGCATAATGGTAATAACGACCATGGCAACGGACAATGGCTGCCCTTCAGATCCGGGTCCGGCAAACATAGAACATCCAAAGTGCCCCGCGGAACCAAACTGTTCTGTAGAGTCCAGTCCGTGCAGGCAGATGGAGGATCATGGAGTCGGCAGCCTTGAAAGGCCAGAACCTGAGCCCGACGCAGGAAGGGGGCCGGGAACCGAACCACTATGGCAGGATGGCAAGGCAGTGACCCACAAAACTCCAAAAGTGTGTTGCGGTCATACACGTAGCGTGGGTGTACAGCGTTGGCACAAAAAGTCAAAACAAAAACAACAGGAACAAAAGAGCGAGTCGAAGCGGAGCTCTCATCAGTGCTGCCATACTGCGGAGCACGAGTGCACGAATACGAGAATTTCAGAACAACTGTCTTCTGAACTTAAATAGTTCTTTGGATAGCCTCAATTTGGAGAATTATTATTAATTTAATTTAATTCTGTCCAGATTGAGAAACTAAGTTGATCTGAGTGAGGCTTGTCCCAAATCTAATTTCTACTACCTTAATTAAAAAAATACAAATAAAAGTTCATACAAACCCCATTTATTAAACCTTCACATAACATGGTTATTTTGACAGAAATTATATTTTAGCTGGAAGTATGCTGGGCTGTACTGGCTATGACTAGCTAGCTGCTAAAATTGATTTTAAATAACTATAAAACAAATATGATTACAATAATTATTTAAATCCTGAGTAGGCAAGCTGACAACGAACAGACCAGAACACCAAGGATAATAACGAAGTTCTTTTATTTACAAAGTGTGGGTATTCCCCTGAGGTTCTGGGAATTGATTGATTTCCATCTCTGAAGGTTTATTTTAACTTACACATATAACGTACAAAATTCACTACAGCACTGGGTCATCCCGTTACCGCCATGCGGTTACATTAATGGTGTCGAGCATCGGTTAAACACACCTTTCTTCAGAACTGGCCACACCTCCCTGAAGTAGTCGCAACCGCTGACCTATGGGAAGGCCCTATACTAGATCATGTGACCAGTTTTCAACCAATGACACCTCGTCATCTTGTATTCAAAACGGAAGGTGCGTGTCTGTTGGGAATTGTAGGCGTGTCTATAAAACTACATTTTCTATCAGAAACAAAACCCCAAATCAAAAGATCTGCCTTGCAAATAAGATGATATAAAACATAAAGAAATACAAATAACCACACATTTCTGTAAGATTACATATCATTCTGATACAAATATACATCAGCCTTTAAGTACAGGGGTTATCAGCCGAGAATAGAAAACAGATGGAGGTTGTTAGCATCACATTGCCACTCAGAAGGCTGAAAAGTGTGGTAACGCACACGGCAGAGATCCATTTAAATAATCATGTAATGCAAATTAACAACTTTCACACAAACTATTTATTTGTGTTGTTTTAGGACGGCAGGCACGAGCTTTGTTTGCGGCATTGCTAATGGATTAGCCGTTAGCTTGTTAGTTGAGGTTGTTTATGAGTTATCAACAACAGATAATAGGATTAATTCCCCATAAGCTTTTTACAAAACCCCAATTTAAACAAAATTAACTTTATTTTACTGAACTGTTTGTAAAAAAAAAGGAAAATGACAGAAATGTTAGATATGAGTTATAACACTAACAGCCTACAGTCTGCACACAAAGCTGTTCAACACAGAAAATCTGGACTTTTGACAAGAAAATGCTAAAAAAACAAGTTATTATATAAATAGATGCCTCTTCGTATCTCATGGAGCATAAACATTTTGTTCGTTAAACACCTACTATGGTGCAGTAAATTAGTGCCCTGGGCTGTCCACAAACTGCTACAACTAGCTAGCTGCTAAAGCTGTTGCTGTTTAAAAATAACAAAAAAACTATTTTCAAATAATCATGTAATGCAGATTTGACATTTGTCTAAAGATATATTAAACAACTGTCACACAAACTTTTTTCATTGAAGCTGTTTTTAACGGCAGAAAACAACTTTGATCGCAGCTTTGCTAACGGGATAGCGGTTAGCGCTTCGCTAACGGAATAGCGGTTAGCTTGTTAGTTTGGTGAGAATTAAACTTTATTTCACCAAATTTAAGTTATTTAAAAAGTTATTTACAACAGATAATTAAATTATTGTTAATAAGCTTTTGACAAAACCCTACTTCAAATAATTTGAATGATATATTACCAAATTAATCATTAAAAAATGACATGCAGCAGCCTTCAGACTGCACATTAAGCTGTTTAACACAGAAAATCTGGACTTTTGGTAAAAAACAAAACCAAACAGAAAAACAACACATAGTGTTTCTAATAACTGGAGTTTTTTTTTTTACTCAGGTAAAGTATTTAGAAGTATTTAGTATTTTGAGTATTTAGAAAAGCGCTATACAAATAAAATGTATAACTATTATTATTATTATTATTAGTATAAACATTCTTACGCTCAGAAAACACACTACCATAGTGCAGTGCAACAGATATTATTTTTAAATGGCCACTTTTACACTGTATTCTATCATCTTAACACAAGTCATCACATCTGCGGGTGGAAATTTAATTATTGCAAAACATGTACATTCTGAAAATGAAAAAGAGGAAGAGGAACATGTGTTTTCCTCTCTTGTCTTTCTTGCTCATTACAAAAAAAGACATTTGTCGGGGTGGGGGTCTTTAAGGTAAAAAATAGCCAAAGAGTGATAGCTCTGCCAAAAAAGAGACACTAATATTTTAAATATTAGCAGGCGACGCCTAAAGACTTTTAACTTTGCTTTGCTTGTTTTACAAGAACAAAGGGGTTGTTTTTGACCAGAAATGTGAAAGTAGAAGGTAAAAGTTGAACATATTCCAATTTTTTGCAGCAGAAGGTAAAGTGAACGGAGCTATTGTTTAAATATGTCACGTATTTATTAACATTTAAAGGAAGACGGTGTTCGGTGCAGTCAAGGGTCATTGAGTCTTTGAAACTGTTGGCATCCGCTGCAAAATGTGTGACTTTCGAAGCGTGACTTTGTGCAAGAAACAAAAAGTTTTCACAGTTGAAACTCCAAACTCAAACATTTTAAACAGTTTTGATCAATGTTTTTATTTTTGATTACAGATCATTTATAATGCAACATGAAAGTCAGTTTACAACCATGTTTATTTGATGGCGGCTTTATCCACAATATAAAAAAAGAGCCCCTTTATAAAGAGATCGGTCACATCACAAAAATAATCTACCGTAAACACCCACCCCGCTAACTAACGGCTGTCGTTCATTAAAAGAACCGGACTCTGCGGTTCTTCTGTTTTTAACTCCACTCGTATTTGTTCCATAACTTTTGTATCGGTTTCATTAATTCACTGTAAAAAGACGCCGCCTGAACTACGCAGAGGTCAAACACGGCGCCTCGCAGGAACCTTCAGCTCTAAAAGAGTCAGCCGCTTCCTGAAGTTCTGTCTGAGAGCAAAGAGGAGGTAAAAATAGTGACAGCTGGACGTGGACGGTTCAGATGGACGCAAACAAAACGCTGACGAGTGTTTCCTGTCTACCGACTGTGGAAGCCTTCGGCTGGGTTGCAGTTTGTTGTGCTGCCTCCGAGCGGGAAGCGTCCCATCTGTTTGGTGAAATATCTGTTATATGGAGGTATTTTTGTCCTTTTTTGTTTTTAGCTCGGACTCCTCTCCTCAGTTCTCACTGTGATCTTGATTCTCCGCTCCTGGTGAACGTCTGTTCAATAAAAAAATAAATAAAAACAATATTTTTTTAAATAAATAATTGGTTATCGGAGAGAAGACAGATGCTACACTTGGGCAAATATTTCCTGCTACTAAATTGCAAATTAGGTTTTAGCCACAGTTTGAATAAAAATAATAAATTTTAACCTGAGGTTGTTCCTTTAAGCCACTGTGTTTAGCTAATTTTAAGTTAGGTATGTTTTTATTTCTTCTCCAAATCTTAGCTCCTTGCTATATTTTGTTCAGTTTTGCCTTTTGGCTATCGTTTTGCTAATTTTTTTCTTTTTGCTACTATTTGTTGATTTTAGTTTTTAGCAACAGTTTGATTTTTTTTGTTTTTGTTTTTATGTACAGTTTGTTTTTAGCTATTAGCTACTGTATTTCTCATTTTAGTTTTTTTTACTACATTTTAGTATAATTTAGCTTTCTTTAAAGTGTTGTTAATTTTAGCTTTTAGCCAGATTAGCCAGATCAAGTTTTTGATGATTTTTAACAATGAATTAGGTTGTAGCTAATTTTAGTTAAGGTTTTGCAAATCTTTGCTTTTAGCTATAATGTTGCGATTTTTCATTTTCATTTTTTGCTTAAGACCTTATTTAGAAAATATGAGATTTTTGCTACAATTTTTAAATTTTAAACTTTTAACTACAGTTTTGTTATGTAAGCTTATAGCAACAGATTTTTTTAAAAATATTTAGTAGAGTTTATTGTAAACTTTTATAGTTTGTTATGTTATTGTAGCTTTTAGCTACAGGTTGATAAATATTATTATTTTTTAATTATTTTAGGTTTTGCTACAGTGTTTGTAATGTTAACTTTCAAACATTGTTTAACTAATTGTAGCTTTTTGCTTCTGTTTTGTTAATTTCAACATTTAGGTATGATTTTGCCCATCCATCCATCCATCCATCCATCCATCCATCCATCCATCCATCCATCCATAG